TATATATATATATATATAGATATAGAGAGAGAGAAAAAAAAAAAATATATATATATATATATATATATATATATATATATATATATATATATATATATATATATATATATATATATATATATATATATATATATATATATATATATATATATATATATATATATAAATATTTATTGTAAAGGTAAAATGTCATAAGTGAAGCATTGGTAAATTTTCATTAATTTGTTTCACTTTTTTCGATCGCTTCTTTTATCGCTGTTTTTAAAAATGGTGCTGCTTCCTGTATTGTTTCTTGTTTTTGTCGCATGCACAATTGACGATTCTCTGTAACCAATCAGCGTTCAGCTGCGTGTCTAGCTCCGCCTTTTGGTACTCTTTCTCGTCTTTGGTACCCTTTCGAAAGGGTGCCGAAAAAATGGTATGGTACAGTTCGGTATGCCTTTTGACAGTGGAAACGGCCATGAAAGCGTACCGAACCGTACGGTACCACTCAGTGAAAACGGGCCATTAGTCTTAAGTATATGTAAATATCAAACAACTTACTTCATTTCTACTTATTATGAACTTATTAAAATACATAATCAGAGACCATATTAAATCATATTATATTTTAAATAAAAATAATATTCATATATTATAACAACATTTAAAAATAAAAACAACTAACTAATTAACAACTAATGAGAATATTGGGTGCAAATATTATATTTCACCTATCAACTTCTAATTTGAATAAATGTCTACTTTAAACTTTTTAAAGTTTTTTTTGTGCAAGTGTGAAGCATTATTAAATCACCATTATATTTATGTAAACAATAAATAACTTCAATTTTATTGATTCTGTATTTATTAAAGTGTATAAGGGACCATATTAAATCATATTATACTTAAATAATAAATTAATAAAATTTATATTAATAAATTTTAACTTAAAAAAAAGTAAATAACTAACAATTTATGAGTTTTTTAAGAGGCAAACACTGATTAAAAACAAGTCAAATTAAATTCAACGCGGACCAAATAATTTTTGAATACATCTTCAATACAATACAAATAAATACAATTCCTCTGTGTCATGAAAAATAAATGCATGAAGGTGAGTAAATGATCACTGAATTTTATAATGCCTTTCATAATTGGTCAATCTACATTTTTTACGATGTTTAAAATTTAATACACGTCAACAGGGTCAGGGTGTTAGGAAACCAATGTCAATTCTCAAACAGGATTGTAATTTTTAAATTAAACTAATTTTTCATAATATTTAACTTAAAACTAGCTTTAGCAGTTAAAATCAAATAAAAAAACAATAGTATTTTTATTACAAAATAAAAAAATACATTAAAAATATATTTTAAAGAATCCATTAATGAAATAGAAATTACAGAAGTGTAACACATTAGATTGAGTCAAAATGATCTAATAATAAATTATTTAATTATAATTTAAATTGGTAAATGACTAAATGTAGATTATTGTAATCTTAAATTTTTTTTATTAAAAATACAAGTAAACAAGTTAATTAAAAACACGTCAGCTCAAAATATTATATATAATAATAACGTTTAAACAACATTGAAACAACATTGTAATGTTAGTTCCCTAAAAACGTAGAGCGTTTAAAGTCCACATGCCAAAGCTGACCTCGCCCAACAATATTTACACATCGTTAAACTATTTTACTGTACATTCAAATACATTCTGACTGGGTAAAGTTCGGAAAAACTCCTTGGTAACCCACAGTTGAGTCATCATCACATGTTATTCAGGTTAACTCTCATTACTCACTCGACTGTATAATGGTTGACAGGCCTAGAACTAAATCAACCAATATTCTCAACATATATTTTGTCTATCAGAAAATAAAAACTTGAAATTAAGTGTTTA